CATTGGGCAACGCCGCCCGGGGCGGAGGCTCCCTCTCCCGGCTCCCCGGGTGTGTGTGCTGTTCAGCCTCTGCTCTGCTTGGGGCCGATGCTGTTGTCAGCTGTGGGATAGGAATCCAGGGAGGCCCTGGCTGGTGTGGCTCCGTGGGCAGAGCGTCGTCGGCCTGCGGACTGAAGGGTCCCAGGTTCGATTCCGGTCAAGGGCATGGACCTTGGTTGCGGGCACATTCCCAGTAGGGGGTGTGCAGGCAGCTGATCGATGTTTCTAACTCTCTCTCCCTTCCTCTCTGTAAAAAAATCAATACATTTGTTATAAAAAAAAAGAAGAATCCAGGGGTTCCAACCCAATGTGTTTCCGATTCTTTCCCCACGGAATGAAGTGACCGCCGTCCACACCGTTTCTCTGTATACGTGGGCCTCTTTCTGGACTGTTCTCTCTTACGGCATCGCTCCGTTTACCCGCTCCTCCCGAAAGCCCACCGCACCTTATGCTGCGCCTTCTTGTCACCACAGTATGTGGACCTGCTCTGGCGGGCCCCTTTGTCCTGGGCGCTGATAGGTCGCTGGTCCAATTGATGTTTCTCTCTCTCTCTCTCCTTCTCTCTCTCTCTCGCCAATAAAAACCTAGTTTAAAAACATATATTTGGAAAAGCTAGTCTTCCCTCACTGTGCTTCATTTTCAGCATTTTCCTGGAAATGTTTATATATATATATATATATATATATATATATATATATATATATAATTTTTTTTAATTATTATTATTATTTTTTAATGTACTTCTGCAGTATTTTTCTCAAATTCCCCCCCCCCCCTTCTCTGCTGGTTATTTAGTTGGTGTCGTGTTGATTTCTAACCTCAGGGAACTCTGACATCTTTTCAAGACGATTCCTCCTCTCTGAGAACAGAGACTGTCTGGCCGCTCACCCCAGCCTCCCTTCTGCGTGGAACAGTGACGTTAACACTTTTTACGTTGCTTTTCCCCGCATTTCCCGGGAAGCTCACTGCTAAGCGCCGTAGCCTCAGGGCCGCCAGTGCACACGGGGCCTTTGCTTCCGTTATGAGTAACACGTGTATTGACAGCCACGGTGGAAGGTCTGGGTGGAGACCCACGAACCCAGCGTGGTTTGGTTTCCTGATTGGTGGTTGAGAGAGGAACATCCATTTGTTATTCCGCTCATCCGCGCGTTCATTGGTTGATTCTCTCAGGCTCTGTAATTTCTGACGACGACGACGACGACGACGACGTGAAATTACGTCTGACCCAGCCCAGCGCTACAGGAGGAAGCGGATTCTCACGGAAGCGAAACGGCCTTGACCTCTGACTTTCCCGCACGGGGCGAGCAGCCCGCACCCGCTCAGAGCAGACGCTTCGCTTTTAGCAAAACGCCTTTCCCAGGCGGGACCGGCCCTCCAGACACCTCCAGACACAATGAGCTTTGGTTTTCCTTCTGCAGGATGCGGGAGATGGGGCGCGTACCCATGGCGCGAGTGAACGGCACCTTCAAAACGGGTCAGAGGGTGTGTTTGATCTTATGTGCTTTTAACCTCTTTTTGTAAAAAAAAAAAAAAAAAAAAGCAAACTCAACCCAGCTGGTGTGGCTCAGTGGTTGAGCGTCAACCTATGAACCAGATCAGGGTTCGATTCCCAGCCAGAGCACATGCTCGGGCTTCGGGCTCCATCCCGAACAGAACCATGGCCTCCTGGTTCCTAGGTGGACGCTCAGCCACGGAGCCACACCGGCCGGGCACACACTTGACCCTTTTAGACCGAACAAGCCGCTACACTCACCACCTGCAACCTCCACCTCTAGCTCCCCAACATCTCTGTCCCCAAAACATGACCCCGCACCCGGCGCCCTGCCCCTGGCAGCCCCACCTGCTTTCTGTCTCCTCACAGACGATGCTTCTGGTCATTTCCTATCCATGGCCTCACGCACATGTGGCCTGTGGCTCACGCCCCCTTGTGGCTGGTGCAGCCTGGAGGGCACTGGTGGCTGGCAGCACCTGTGTAGTCAGCAGAGGATGTGGGTTGGGAGCCATGGAGTCTGCACTTGGATTGTGTAACTATTACCCAGTGTCCTCTCTGCCCCCCCCCCACCTCCATGCACTGTCACCCCCTGAGCCTGCAGAAACGGGGTGACGGCTGGATGACTCATCTCCTAGGCAACACTTAAACACCCTCCCCTGGGGGAGACTCTGACAGTCTGTGTCTCCACCTGGACGCCCAGACACCTTCCCAGGCCTTGTCATCAGGCACAGAGTTTTTCCCATTTTAACCGTTTAGTGCCAGCTCTGCGGCATCCACGACACCGTGTAACTCTGGCTGGTTTGCCTCAGTGGATAGAGCTTCGGCCTATGGACTGAAAGGTCCCGGGTTTGATCCCAGTCAAGGGCACATGCTTCCATCCCTGGCCTGGAGACAACCAATGGATGTCTCTCTCACATCAATGTAGTTTCCGTGTCTCCTCCTCCCTTCCACTCTCTCTCTAAAAATCAATGAAAAATATCCTTGGATGAAGATTAACAAAGTAATAATAAATTTTTAAAAGAGAAAGTAAGGAAGGATATGGAAGAACAACTTACTTGATCAATTACAACCGCTTGGGGGCGCTGGCAGCTTCCTGGCTAAACCAGTCTGTTGCTCCCAGTTGCTCTCCCTCCTGGCAGAAGTGAACTCTGCAGACTAGAACGACCTTTGAATAATAATAAAAAAAAAGGCTTTGTCAGCCTGTTTACAACATACCTACAGGAAAGCTGTATGTGTAACTTTCAGACAAAACATAAAAAGAAACACTACTGCCTTAACCGTGTGGCTCCGTGGATAGAGTGTCGGCCTGCGGACTGAAGGGTCCCCAGGTTCGATTCCGGTCAAGGGCATGGACCTTGGTTGCAGGCACATCCCCAGTAGGGGGTGTGCAGGAGGCAGCTGATCAATCTCTCTCGATGTTTCTAACTCCCTATCCCTCTCCCTTTCTCTCTGTAAAAAATCAGTAAAATGTTTTTTTTTAAAAAAGAGTATGAACGAGGAGGCAGATCTAGAGTTAGCGTGGAAAATAACGTCCAGAGTTAACTAAAGAAACGCGATGGTGCCATGTAGTCAAACCCTGTGGCGTTTGACATGCTGTAGAATTTGGGGACATGTAAATAATGTGCTAAGCAAGTTTTTATGGTTAAGGATATTTGTATTTTCTGGTTTGTAGTTGAAACAACATGAAGAGAATATACTCTTTCATGAGCTATTTTGAAAAAAGCTGAAAACTGTTATGATCCTGTGTGTGTGTGTGTGTTATGTAATATATACTACACAGGGGGAAAAGTCCAAAACAGGGCAACTTTAATTAAAAAGTTATCACTGAGTAAAAATGGCTACCTTACGAATTTAGACAGGTTATCTTTGAATTTTCACACACACAAATGTATGTATATATTATAAATAACGAGGGAAATATATTCCTAACTTTCTTTCCTGGGAATAAGCTTGTAATTCAGCTTTCTACATCTGGTTGTTAATGAGTGTGCATTGGTTTTCCTATTGTGATTAGTAATTCCCGTCACACTTGACCGGAAGCTGTACTTGGCGGAGCCCGGTGTTTGAGCACCCGGACCTTGAAACCCAGCTCTGGGGCTGATGCTCCGATGGCAAGACCCTGCCCGCTCTGGGGAAGGCAGGCAGGGTCTCCATTTATCTTAAGGGGCATCAGGCCACCACGAGATGGCCAGTCCCTTTTCAACCGTTCCTAGCCACCCACCCACTTGTACCTGGACTTTCAAAATGTAGTCAACACTTAGGAACTTTGCAATGCGTGTCCTGCAGTGGTCATTTCCAAGCAACTGATTTTTATTTCCTGTTTTGATCATTCATTTTAGATGGATATACATATATTTTATTTCAGAGGGAGTAGAAACATCATTGATGAGAACCATCAATCTGCTGCCTCCTACTGGGGGATTGACCCTGCAAACCGGAACTGTAATCGAACCCAGGATCCTTGTCTGCAGGTCAAGGCTCTATCCACTGAGCCAAACCAGCTAGGGTTATTCATTCTGTAATGAACTTCAAAATTACACAACTCCCAACATGACCAGAAGTGGCTACAGGTGCTGGTGGGGCTCCTGAGGTTGACATCGCTCGAGACTTGCAGAAGTCACAGAAATTCATTGATATGTGCATTACGTACCAGAGTGGACTTGCCTACGATTTCTGTACTTTCTACAAGGCCTTTCCTAATTATAATCCCCAAATCGAGGACTTAAACCTGTGGACATCAGGTATTTTATTAGCAAGTGAGAGAACACATTCTTCTCTCCACCCTGAGGACAGGTGGAGACTGGACTTTGCATCTGCTGTTAGGTGAAATTGAGGGATATTTCAACCAGTTTTAATTCTCTGAATAACCACTAGCATAATGCGTATTACCTTTAAAAATCTGGTCAATAGCCTAAGCAGTGGCCAAGGACAATAGGAGGGTGGGGGCGTTGGAATGGAGGGTTAAGAACAAATATGTGATACCTTAATAAATTTAAAAAAATAAATGTGGTCAAAGGACTTTCTATGCAACTTTAGATTTTAAATAGATGTATTTTGAAGTTGATTTCTACTTTATGTTCCCTTCAACCACTCCCACCCCCCCCACCCCTCTTTTTATCTCCTGATATTCCTGAAACTTTCTTCATTCTCAGGTTCCTAACACTATGCCCAAACTCAATATTTTGAAGTCAGTAGTTTACTAATATATCTACATTTATGTGCACATATGGAAAATTCTAATTGCAAACCTCCAATCTGCCAACTTTTCTCACCCATAACTATATGAGGCCACATTATAACATTACCTCCTTACCATAAAATCATATTGGCCTAAAAAACCTTGACCCCTCACACTCCACCTAAATAAAAATCTTAGCACTGATGAAGAAAAAAATCACACCACTTGGGAATGCAACTTTATTGAAAGAAAAGTGCAATTTAAATTGGTTGAAAGCTTAAACGGGATAGCTTAGACACCTCCTCTGAGGCGCAGGACCAGGTGCAGAGTGGACTCTTTCTGGATGTTGTAGTCGGACAGGGTGCGCCCGTCTTCCAGCTGCTTGCCGGCGAAGATCAGCCGCTGCTGGTCTGGGGGGATGCCCTCTTTGTCTTGGATCTTGGCCTTGACATTCTCGATGGTGTCACTGGGCTCGACCTCGAGGGTGATGGTCTTGCCCGTCAGGGTCTTCACGAAGATCTGCATCCCACCTCTGAGACGCAGGACCAGGTGCAGAGTGGACTCTTTCTGGATGTTGTAGTCGGACAGGGTGCGCCCGTCTTCCAGCTGCTTGCCGGCGAAGATCAGCCGCTGCTGGTCTGGGGGGATGCCCTCTTTGTCTTGGATCTTGGCCTTGACATTCTCGATGGTGTCACTGGGCTCGACCTCGAGGGTGATGGTCTTGCCCGTCAGGGTCTTCACGAAGATCTGCATCCCACCTCTGAGGCGTAGGACCAGGTGCAGAGTGGACTCTTTCTGGATGTTGTAGTCGGACAGGGTGCGCCCGTCTTCCAGCTGCTTGCCGGCGAAGATCAGCCGCTGCTGGTCTGGGGGGATGCCCTCTTTGTCTTGGATCTTGGCCTTGACATTCTCGATGGTGTCACTGGGCTCGACCTCGAGGGTGATGGTCTTGCCCGTCAGGGTCTTCACGAAGATCTGCATCCCACCTCTGAGGCGTAGGACCAGGTGCAGAGTGGACTCTTTCTGGATGTTGTAGTCGGACAGGGTGCGCCCGTCTTCCAGCTGCTTGCCGGCGAAGATCAGCCGCTGCTGGTCTGGGGGGATGCCCTCTTTGTCTTGGATCTTGGCCTTGACATTCTCGATGGTGTCACTGGGCTCGACCTCGAGGGTGATGGTCTTGCCCGTCAGGGTCTTCACGAAGATCTGCATCCCACCTCTGAGGCGTAGGACCAGGTGCAGAGTGGACTCTTTCTGGATGTTGTAGTCGGACAGGGTGCGCCCGTCTTCCAGCTGCTTGCCGGCGAAGATCAGCCGCTGCTGGTCTGGGGGGATGCCCTCTTTGTCTTGGATCTTGGCCTTGACATTCTCGATGGTGTCACTGGGCTCGACCTCGAGAGTGATGGTCTTGCCAGTCAGGGTCTTCACGAAGATCTGCATTGTCTGTTAGAACAAAAAGAAAGAAAAAAAAACAAAAAAAACAAGAGTTTAGCAGGCAATTCACCAGTGAGCACATTCTTAAAGCTAGAAATGTCATTTAAAGAAACATTATATATATATATATATATAAAATTAATTTCTTACAAAGAGAGATGAATAGCTGGAAGCATTGATCAGAAACATCCATCAGCTGCCTCCTGCACGCCCCCTACTGGGCATGTGCCCGAAACCAAGGCACATGCCCTTGACCGGTTGGAACCTGGGACCTTTCAGTCCGCAGGTCGACTCTCTACCCAGTGAGCCAAACCGGTCAGGGCGCCGTGTCAAGTTTTTATTGGCCCCAGTGACTAAGCTAAACACTTGCCTAAGGCAAGGAACCAAACACACACACACACACACACACACACACACAACAGACTACTCGCCTAACACAACACAGATCAGGCACCAAAAACACGGACACTCAAAACCTGCCCAGTATTGCTAACCAGCGCCATCCTGGAAAACTTGAGGTAAAAAATGGAACTTGCCTACCAGACCTCAAAGTGAAGCGGACTCTCCTTGGCAGAGTCGGAACCCCAGGCACTTACACGGAGGAGCAGGGGAACCGGGCCCCAGCACAATCCCGGGCTCCGCACTCCCGTCCCCGCACGTCCGCCGCCTCAGCTCAGCTCAGCCCGGGCCCAAGCCCCGCGTCCCGCCACCCGAGGGAGGAATCCTAGCGCCCGGCCGGCGGGCGGCCCCGCCCGGCTTTGTGCGCCCACAGCGGGTGACGTCACGCGGGCGCACCCCGCCGTGGGTGCGGGCCGGGCCCCCTCACGGCGCCCTGACGCCGCGGCGACTTCCGGCCCGTTAGGCCGCGACCCGGCCTCCATGGTGGGCCCACCCGCGCCGCCCAGCCCCTCCGGCCAAACCCAAACCCAACGCCGCGCTCTCCCCGCCCCGCCCGCCGCGTCCCCCCCACATTCCCCTCAGCCCGCCCGCCGCCGCCGCCGCCGCCGCCGCCCCCGCCTCACAGGCCGCCATTTCGCGGCGGCCCTGTCCCCTCAGAGTCTCCTCACGCCGGGAACCCGCACGACGAAGGTCCCCTCAGCCGCCTCAGCCCGCGACGGACACCCCGCCGGCCGCCCCCGCCGCTCCCCTGAGCGGGACGGCCCCGAGCACCGCCCCGAGCACCGCCCCCCGCCCCCCGCCGCGGCCGCCCCCACTCACCGGGGGCGACGAGGGAAGCTGCGGGCGATGAGAGAACAGTAACTGCGCTGCGAGCGACCGCGAACTGCGTGCGCCACGCCCGGCGCCGCCTTATATAGCCGCGCCGGCGCCGCGCCGCGGATCCCTCCGCGGAAATGAGGCCAGGGACTACTTTTCCCCGCCCTTCCGCCAGCCGCGGCGGTAACGAGCGCCCCGTGTCCTCTAACTCCCCTTCTGGAAGGTTCTCTGGCGAAGGCCGGGACTCTGGGCGGAACCGGGCGGGGAGGGGGGGCGGCTCTCCTGAGGGCCGGGCGGAGGGGTCAGCGCGTTCGCTGCGCGCTGCGTCCCGGTCGACGCGGCGGGCGCCTGACGGGCGGGGAAGGGGGAGGCGGCCGCGGCGGGAGCGAAAACCCGGCCCGGAGTCGGCGGGCGCTCGGAGCGGGTGGGGGAGCCCCGCGTCCCCCGCCCCGCAATCCCGCTTCCCGGCCCCGCCGCCCCCTTCCCTCAGCCCCGCCGCCCCCTTGGTCCTCGGGCCGCGCCCTTGGCGGACCGGGCCCGGCCCAGCGCCTCGCGCGGAGTCGGGGTGCCGCTCCCTTCCCCCGCCCTCAGGAGGGTCTTTATTTTGGGGTCACATGTAGGACCGTGATTGTGTGCGTGTTTCCCTAACGCTCTCTCCACCCCGCCCCCCTCCCAGGCGCGTCGCGAGGGGTTCGGGGTCCCCACCCGCGGCGCCGGGCCCATCCCCCGGGCGGGCAGCGGGACAGCGCGGATGACTCGGCAAAAGCCGCTCCGGACACGCGGGGGGCGGGTTCCCCGGGAAAATGGGAGAAAAACAAGGTTTGCGTGGGAGACCCGGCCGCGGAGTGTCTGAACGGGGTTCTGGAGAGAGAGGTGGGCATGAAAATACTTAAAAAACAAAACCCATTTGCCCCCAATAAATTCTTCCCCCCCCTGCCCAATAAATTCTTTAAAAGACTACAAAACACACACACACACACACACACACACACACACACACACACACACACACACGATTGGAGCTGGCCCTGAAAGCTGGACAGGCCTAGAACTTTCTGGATGGTTCTAGAAGGTTCTTTCCCCTTCCGGTTTGGTAGGCGGGGCGGGTACAGTGGTCCTGGAGTCTCTAGACAAAAGCCCCCTCTGGGTTGGTATCCCATTGACCTCAGGACTCGAACCCGTGTAAGCCTGAGGTTTTAAAAGGACACGCGTGGACTCCCAGCCCTGTGTGTGTCCAGGGGGAAGAACACCTGTCTAATGGCCCAGATAAGAAAATAATAATAATAATAATAATAATAGCCCAGAGAGGATGTGTGATTCTACAGGCGAATTCCACTGGGGACCAGCGGGGAGGAAAGGTCACCAGCCGGGCCTGGTTCCGGTGGACGGTGATCTGCTTTGTGACTTCAGCCTGTTTTTAAAGTGTTTTTATGTAGGTGGACGTGTGAAACAGGTTTGGGTGGTTTTTTTTTTTAGAAGTTGACAGTAAAAACTCCCCCTCCTGTCGTTTTCTTAGTCACGGTTCCTTCTGGACTCTTCTAGGGACGGGTGCAGGGCCTAACAATGGAGGTGGGAGGGGAGACTCGAATGTCTTCCCGTTAAGGCCTTCAAGAAGAAAAATAACAACAAAATATGACTAACCTTGGCCCCATTCCCCTGGGCCTAGTTGCCAAGCGACTAAAACACAAAATGAAAGGTCCCCTGGGAAGCACCCTCGCTGTGGCCGAGTGTTCAGGAAGGAGGTCTGAGCGTCCCACAATGGATTTCACCCTCCGTTATTTTTTAGCCATTGTCCTGGAGAATGAACTCACAACCGGGAAATGGAAACCAATAAAATGTCATTTTCCAGGGCGGCAGGGGGGTTCTGGGGACTTCCAGTGCAGACTTCTCTCAAGGTCATTTTTTTTTAAAAAAAAATATATTTCTTACTGATTTTTTACAGAGAGAGGGAGAGAGAGCTAGAAACGTCGATGAGAGAGAAACATCGACCAGCTGCCTCCTACACGCCCCCCACTGGAGATGTGCCCGCAACCAATGTACATGCCCTTGACCGGAATCGAACCCGGGACCTTTTAGTCCGCAGACCGACGCTCTACCGCTGAGCCAAACCGGTTTCGGCATTTTCTTTTTTTTAAATGTATTTCTTGATGTTTTTCAGAGCCGATGGGAGAGGGGAGAGAGAGATAGAAACATCAATGATGAGAGAGAATCATCGATTGGCTGCCTCCTGCCACTCCCCCCCACCACCACCACTGGGAAATGAGCCTGAAACCTGGGCATATGCCCCCCTGGCTGGAATCAAACCTGGGACCCTTCCGTCCGGAGGCCGAGGCTCTATCCACTGAGCCACACCAGCCAGGGATGTCAAGGTCATTTCTTAACCAATGGACACAGACCGTAGGGGGGTGAGGGCATGTAGTGGGGGGTGGGAGCAGCTGGAGAGAGAGGACAATGAGGGGGAAAGGGGGACTCGCATAACACTTTAAGCAATAAAGAATTTAAATTAAAAAAGAATACTCGTGTGGGTAAGTAAATAATTAAAAAAGATGACGTCTTTCTGATCTTCTGGGAAGAGGTTCGAAGGGAACAAGCACGGAGGCTCTGTGCGGGTCACGTCTCTGGACTTCAGGCCGGAGGTCAGGGTTTGAGGGGAGCACAGGCCGGCTCCCTGCGGGGCACCCCGTGTGCTGTGGGTGCTGTGCGGAGCCGGCGACGGAGGATGGGTCACGGCTGAGTCAGGAGCTTCGTGGCCCTGACAGGCAGAGTCCAAAGGTGTGCAGGGGGCAGTGGGGGGCAGGGAGGAAGGGGCGAGGGAGGCGGGAGAGGAGGAAGGAGACAGGCTCCAGGCCGGGCGGGGCCGGGGTGAGCTGGGGAGAAGGCCAGGCGGCCTCCAGCAGGAAAAAACAAGTTCGGAACCGCCCAGCGTCCCTGACTGAAGTCCAGCAGGGAGGAGGGGCGGAGGTCAGTGGCGGAAAGGGGACTTAGGTAATACATGAGACAACAAAGAAAGCACATTGAAAAAACAAGGGGTGTTTCTAACGCCCTCTCCCTCTCCCTCCCTCTCTGTAAAACTCAACGAAATAAGAAGAAGAAGGAGGAGGACGAGGAGGAGGAGGAGGAGGGAGGACGACCTTTCCCAAGGACAGTGGCTGCTGTCTTTCTGGCACGGCCATGCTCAGCTGCCAGGCGGGCCTGGGTCCCCCCGTGGGCACCCTACAGTGGACAGTCCCCCCCCCACCCCGGCCCCGGCCCCAGGTCAGCAATGCCCAGGTTCGGGCCCGGTCTCCAGAGGTTTTTTTTTTTTTTTTTTTGGGGGGGGGGGGACCTGGAAAGCCTGCATGTCCCACTGGGCCCGGGAATGGGGCTCCGGCCCCTGGCTCCCGAGCCCACGCCCCCTGACCTAGAATGCAGGGTGCTGGACGGCGCCAGAGGCGGGTGAGTCACGCCATCCATTTCCAGCTCCTCCCTCCCTCCCTCCCTCGGATCCGTCCTTTGCGGGCGGCCCGGGGGCGGCCACGGCGTCAGAGCCGCCGCCAATGGCAGCGTGACAGCGGCCCAGCAACGCGGCCCGATTGGCGAGGTCCCCCCAATCCTCCCCCATCACCCCCCAACTCCCCACCCGGGCACATGACGTGCTGAGCTCACAAAGGCCTGGGTGCGGGGCTGCAGGGTGGGGGCGGGGTGGGGTGGAGGGCCGAGATGGGCCTGGTGCCTGTGTCTGCAGGGCGGCCTCCCCCCACAGAGGGCTCCGGGCCGGGAAGGGGACAACCACAACCTCGTTTGGCACTGGC